GTAATGATTGACTTTCCATTCAGTTCTCGTTCTTCGGGTTTAAAAACAAAATAATAAAAAAACTGATTAGAGGTTACTGTACACAAAATCTAGCCCATTGAGTTAAGGAATCAAATGCGTATGAGATCACAATCGTCAAAGATCATCTTTCGTTTCTAGGTCTCGTCTACGTTTTTTTTTTTTTGTTTACTTGGTATGACACAAGGATAGAAAAGTCGGGCATCCAGTGACGATCCAGCAGGCAGTCTGTGAGACTAGCTTGCTAACCATGTCTTTTCTTTGTTGCGTTTTTTGGTTTGTTTTGTTTTTTTTTCCTTACAGTTTCATTATCTACAGTTTTGCTGGTTTTTTTTTTGTTTTTTTTCGTTCCAATCGCTAAATACTATGAATCTATCAATGTCTGGTATTATTTCAAAGATACGCAGAAGATGCTCAGGCGCCTGCTGTAGAGCAATATTTTGCCATGCCAGACAATTTTTCTCGTCAGAATCCATCTTGGATATCTATAATTCTACCATTCATCTACGCATTGAATATTGCTGCCATATCTGGTCTGGTGCTCCTACTGTATACCCCAAGATTCTTGACAAAATCCAAAGAATGACTTTCCCACCGCGATTACATGGCTTCCTGCTGTCTTTTCTATGAATAGTTTCATGGCAATTGTTCTGATGAGCTTTCCTCCTTAGTGCCTTGACTGCATGGATTTAAACGTGCTACTAGATTGGCAATTAGGTCTCACCGTATTACTGTGGAACTAACTAGATGGAACCGTATGTCCTATTCTAATAGATTCTTTTCTCGCATGTAGAACTTTATTCTCATGGCACAGTAGATAAAGGCGTTGGTTAGATCCAGTGACAGGCCCCAAAGAGTGAGTTCAATACCCAGTTAAGACAGTGGAGAACTCTCAGAGGGAAATTACCAGGAGATAACTGATAATTGACATCCATTAAACATGGCAAGTGGAACTAGAACAGTCTACCCCAGTGAGTGAAATAAAGGGTTCAGTTTGACATTCCAACCACCTGAAGAAGGCCGGAGCGTACAATGGCCGAAATGTTGTGATGAATATGGTGACAAAGATGAGGACAATAGTCCGAATAATGTAAATAATGAACTTTATTCTAGTTTTCTTGCTTCCAAAATTTAAATGCAACACAATCGTCATCTTCTGCCTTCCTGACCCCTGTTCTCTTATTGACCTTTCTCCTCTTTAATGTCTTCTCATTCTCTTTCACTCCTAGTAACCCTTTTGCATCTAAGTGGCATTTTCACCTTGCTTGGGGTGAAATGATTTAAAAAAAAAAAAAAAAAGAAGGTATATGATTATCTTTTAGTAAGTTCATTTCTTCCTGTTTCCTCTACAATATGCTCCTCCGCCAGATTGTTTGCTATAACTCTTGGTGCACTCTTAAGGTTGCCTTAGGCATGACTACATTATGCTGAATATCTACTAGGAGCAATATTAATTTGCACTGTATGCTCCATTTTTGTGACCTTGGACCATACTATTCGCTAGTAGAGAAATGTATTATTTAGATATTTGCTGAGAAAAAATGACAAAAAACAAAAGCTTGACTGTTTGTGTGCGTGTGTAGAGAATACAATGTGTATGTTTGTGAATGTGTGTGAATACAATGTGTATGTTTGTGTGCGTGAATACAATGTGTATGTTTGTGTGTAAATACAATGTGTGCGAATTCTGTGTGTAAATATGATGCAAGTATTGATGTCAACTGTATGTCTGTATTTTACAAATTGTGAATTGAAATCAGTACAGCAATAAAGTGTATATATCAATATAAACACAGACACTAAGGTGAACACCATGTGTTGACCTGTGTCCACTAATATATATATATATATATATATATATATATATATATATATAAAATATTAGTGAAGATTATGCATTGGATTGCTAAGGCTACGAGTTTCAGCAAACTTCATCATTGAGTGTGGGATGAGCAGGGTATCCAACTAAAATTCAGGTTTACAGATCCTTTTGTAAGGTTCAGAGTCGTGGACTCCATACAGGTACCATATACACCAGCTAGATGTTTTCCATAAAAGCTATGTGCTGACTGTGGAGTTAGCCTTCAAGACAGGACATCCAATGTGGATCTGTTTAACAGGTGTAATACTGGAGGAATCGAGACTTTCTTCATACAGTCTCAGTTGCGATGGACTGGTCATGTCCTGAGAATGTCCAATAACAGGATACCCGAGATCCTAATGTACAGCCAGTTAGATCAGGGCTACAGGAATGTAGGATGCCCATGGCCAAGATACAAAGACAAGCTGAAGAGCAACTTGTCAGCTGTCAATATACCTCATAACAGCCTCGAGCTCTTAGCCTTGGAGTGGGTAGATTGGAGATCTACATGTTTTAGTGGACTTGGCAGTTTTCAATCTGCTAGTTTAAATCAAATTCAAGAAGTGAGAGCAAGATCTAAAAGGTCAGCCAATCTAACAGTGACCTCATCCCACTATCCTCACTCTTGATCCATATATTTGCAAATCACTTATGAGTCTTAAGTACCACTTAAGATTATTGCACAAAATTCATAACTGAATCAATTGGTTAAGTTGTCAAATCCTTATATGTTAAAAACTGATGGGAGAGTTCATTCATTTTTATATATATATATATATATATATATATATATATATATATATATATATATATATATATATATAAATATAAACATTGAAATCAGAGGTGACAGGCTGTTTCATGCTGGGACCTTTCCCAATTTATCAAGCCTGAATGATTGTCCAACATGAAACAACCTGTCACTCCTGGACACTTGAAATATTCAATGTCCACTTTTATATTTACATACACTCTATCTCTAATATTGAGCACTTTATCCCTAAATATAAAAATAATTTTTTAAATATTATATTTCTTATATATATATTAAAATAATTGATTTAAATATGGTTTTTTTGCTACAAGTTCTAACCATGTTTCAAAAATGGAAGGTCCCAAAAAATTGCTTGAGGATGAAATGGAACTAATGTTTTTTAATTTAATTACAAAATTAAATTTGGACCTTCCATTTTTGAAACATGGTTAGAACTGTAGCATTTAAAAAACCATATTTTAAATCAAATAATTTTTTATTATTAATCTCTGTAAATTTACATTGAGCACTATTTTGTAAAAATAAAAAATATCTGTAAGAACAATTCAGATTATATATCTTATTGTTCTTTCTTTTTATTCATATATATATATATATATATATATATATATATATGATGTGTGCATTTAGGCAAGCAATCCTTCTTTCATGCACATTTCATTGAAAACGACAGACAAGGTGCTTTTATTTAGTTTTTTACACAATTTTTCATGCGATCTAATGATTTTTTTCTTTTCAGATGATAAATTATATAAAAACTGTTCATTTAGCCATTTTCAAGGATTATATTTTAAATGTTAAAATAAGAAATAGTTTGTTGTATATATGTTTTATAAAATGTTTTCATTTTTCAATACACGGTCAAGATATTGTGTCCATGTTCAAAGTTAATATTATTAAGTGTTGTTTTTTTTTTTTTTATTAATAAGGCTTTCATTTTTTTATTTTTTTTTTTTTTTTTTTTTTTTGGGATGTAGATGATGCTATTATATTAGGATTATCAACAAGTATGCTACGAATAGTGTCCGTAGGTCTCCATAAATATTTAAATGAGGTCTAATTGAGCTATGGTCAGAAAGATGTAGAGTGAGTCTGCGTGTCAAACATGTTGTAGTGTGGCCTATATAATTATTTATGAATTTTTGATTGATCAGGAATACAATTCCTTAATGGACATTTAAATTCGTAAATAATATTTGCCCTATTTAATTTTGTTCTAGGAGGTGAATATATATATATATATATATATATATATATATATATATATATATATAAATTGTAAATATAAATTTTTGATGTTGTTTCTCAAACTTGGAAATTTCTTGGAATTATTCATTCTTCAAGAGTACCTAGACTTTATGAATTGCAGTACTAGATTGGCAGCAAGGTCTCATCAATTTACAGTTGAGCTGTAAGTTCTATGCTAACAGTTCCTTTTCTCAGGCTTCTTATTTGTGGAACTCTCTTCCAGTTCCATGCTTCCCAGCCAACTTTAATCTTCAAAATATTTAAATGCAATGTCAATTGTTATCTACTGTCTTCCTGATTTCTCTTCTATTGTTAATAATGTTTATATTTTCTAATTCTTTCACACCCCACAAACCTTTATGTCTTAGTGGCTTTACTTCCTTCCATGGGATGATTTCATTAAAAAAAAATATTAAATTTGGTCTGCATTTTGAACAGATTTAAGTAATACTGTATCCAAAAATGTGACTTTGTTACCAGAATATTTGTTCGGATGCAATTCTTATCTCTTGGCAATTCAAAATTTAGTCAGGTTTGTATCCGTTCAGTAGGATTTGAGTCCAAAGTTTGAAGTGACCATTCCATGATGTTTGGCACTCTTTACTCTTCTTTTTTCAATAATTTCTTTTAGTCATTTTCTTCTTGATGATGAACATCCACAGCCAATAACTAAAGAGTCATGGTGTTCAGGCCTATACATAATGCAACTAAGAGCCGGAAATGGAGGCCTATTTCAAAAGATCCTTGTTCCCTTGAGAGTGATCATTTTAGATTTGGTTTTTGGTTTGCAGTAGTTTGCTGCAGTAGCTGGCTTAAGAAATTCAAAGAAATTTTTACTTTTGCATATAGAATAACTTTAGCTTATTTAATTGAAGTAAATATAAGATTTATTTATTTTATTTCCTTTGGATTTGCTATATTATTTAATGTTTATTGCAAATAAAAACACTTTTGGCAAGGTTAAAATTTTTATATTTTATATAAATAATAATAAAAATAATAATAAAAAAATATAAATAAAATAATAAGTAAAACTTTTATATTTTATAAATTTTTAAAATTTATTTTATTTCCTTTGGATTTGCTATATTATTTAAC